GGTGGTAGAAGGCTGTTTTTTGGACTGGAAGCCTGTGACCAGCAATGTTCCACAGGGATTGGTACTGTCTACTTTTGTTTGCCCCTTATATAGATGACTTGGATGAGAATATAGGAGGCACGGTTAGTACGCATGTGACACCAAAATTGGTCACACGGTGGACAGTGAAGAAGGTTATCGAAGATTACAAAGAGATCTTAATTAATTGGGTCAATGAGCTGAGGAGTGGCAGACAGAGTTCAACTTGGATACATGTGAGACATTGCACTTTCGTAAAACAAACAATGGCAGGACTTATACAATTAATAGTAGGGCCCTAGGTCATGTTGTACAACAGAGACACTCCGGGGTTCAGGTAAATAATTCTTTGAAATTTGTGTCCCAAGTAGACAGGGTGGTAAAGAAGGCATTTAGCACACTTTAGCACACCCTATATTCTTTGAATATAGGAGTTGGGACATCATGTTGAGCTTGTACAGGACATTGGTGAGGCCTCTTCTGGAGTACTGTGTGCACCTATGATCGCCCGGTTATAGGAAGGATATTATTAAACTGGAGAGGGTTCAGAAAAGATTCACCAGAATGTTGCAGGAATAGCGGGTTTGAGTTTATATGGAGAGGCTGGGTAGGTTGGGACTTTTTTCACCGAGGTGTAGAAGGTGGAGGGGTGACTTTATAGAAGCTTATATCATCATGATGGTCATAGATAAGGTGACTAGCAAAGATCTTTTCCCCAAGGTGGCGGAGATCAAAACTAGGGGGCGTGTTTTTAAGGTGAGGAGGAAGATTTAAAAAGGACATGTACAACGTTTCTTAAAAAAAACAGTAGTTAATTACAATGTTTAAAGTACATTTGGATAAAAGTACATGAATAAGAAATATTTGGAGGGATATGGGCTAAGCACAAGCAAGTGGGATGAATGGGCCAATGGGTCTGTTTCCAAGCTGTATGACTTTGTGACTCTATAACATCAAGGAAAAAAGATGTCACTTGAAGTCTTTAGGTTAAACCTTAAAAAGAGAGAATAAATAAGAGAAAATAATACCAAACTGAACAATTAGCATGCCAAATTAGCTTCATTACTACTTAGCTGCCAAGATGGTCTTAGAATTGAACTGCTCAAATGCATTGATTGGCTTCTGGCATCCTTCGATAAATAGATCAGCAGACACTGTATGCAGTTGTCATCTCCAGAAACTATAGGCCAGTCAGCTTAACACTTGCTGTTAGGAAAACGTTCGAAGCCTTTATTGAAATCATGATTGCAGTGTACTTATAAAAAAAAAAGCAATCAGGCTGAGTCAACATGGTTTAGTGAAAGTGAAGTACGTTTAACGACATTATTAGAGTTCTCAGAAGATGGAACATGTGATGTATATGAAAGGGAATCAGCGGGTGCAGCATAATTAGATCTCCAGAAGAACAAAGGTGCTATATTAAATGACATTGTGAAAAAAACAAAGCCCAGTGTTGCAGAGAATATACGTACATGGATAGAACATTGTTTTCCATTAGCTAGCTAGAGATAAAGCACAAATGGCTATTTCATTGGTTGACAAGATATAGTGAGTCGTGCGCCACTGAGATCAGTGTTAGTACCCAACATTTCAAAACTTAGATAAACAATTTGGAAGAAGTAGGAAAGCGAGTTGTGAAGGAGACATAGGGATGCTACAAAAAAGATAGAGAATTTAAGATGGTGGGCAAGGATTTGGCAAAGGGCGTATAATGTGAGAAAACGTGAAATTGTCTTTTCTAGCAGGAAGAATAAAAGAAATGTTGTTATCTCAATGATGAGCGATTGCACAGTTCCTATGGGCAGTTGAACTGTCAAGAAAAGTGCTGAGCAAAGGGCAAGGCATTTCCTCAAAGAAAAGTAAATTATTTTTGCATGCAAAATAATTTACCTTTAACACAACTGGAAATGATCCCTACATAGAAAATGAGTCACAGTCATAGAGTCATACAGCACAGAAACAGACCCTTCCGTCCAACTAGTTCATGCCAAACATAATCTCAAACTAAACCAGTCCCATCTGCCTGCTCCTGGCCCATATCCCTCCAAACCTTTTCTATTCATATATCCATCCAGATGTCTTTCAAACGTTGTAATTGTCACCACATGCACCATGTTTTATTTCATGGAATTACGTTCAGGAACTGTAGAATTCCTAGCACTTCAAGCAACTACAAACTAAAGTAGTCCACAATTTGTACTTAAAAAAACAAAATAGTTATGAAAATGGAATTATTTAATTCACTTATTCTTTAATAATACTGAAATACATACATGAGAAGTATTAACATTAATAAGGTGTGAGTCAAACAAAGTTAAATAATAGAACAAATACCTAAAACCTGTCACAGCAAAGCAATTTTTTTTTAAAATGACTAGACATTTTGGAATATTGCCAAATGGAAATTAAAATGATGTGACTGGCAAGAGTCATTAAAGCATGTGACTGAGACAATAGCTACACATAGGAATGTAGAGCACAGTTACTTGAAATCATTTTGCAGGAAATCCTGATAATATATGGTGTTAAAGTCACTACATTAAATATAATAAATGACAGTGAATCAATCTTGCTGTCATTTTTTGCTTATAAAACAACACCCATTCAAACCTTATTTCTTGAAACCATTCATCATTTCACATCATACTGATTATAAGCATTATTTCTGTAAAATGGTCACATTGATCAAAGAACATGCTAAATTTAGAGCTAGAAAGATAAACTATTTGAATGGTATTAGTTGGGGATGATGGTAGTGATGAAGGGTTTGGCTCAATGTTTGATACTTTGACATTTTGAATCAAATTGGTTGTACACAACTTTGATACATTCACACAGATGTACTCACATAAATCCCCTCCCCACAGTGCTTGTTAATACACACAGAACCTGCATTAAGACCACAAGCTAGGTCAGTTCATATGATGCAAGGATTTGCTAAAAACAAAAAAACCCTCAAGCTTCAGCAGTGCATACCAATCCTCTCCAATACTGCAGGCAACCGGTACACATGAAAGCAGCCACTGAAAATGTGGTCATCATGTTTCATGGACAATCAAAGCTTGCGATATCCACTCTGCCCAGAGGAAGGCCAGAGGTGGCACAGCTGCAGAAATTCCCCCAAGCACCAACAATGGCAACATAAACTGCCAGTTCAGTGGATGGATGTGCCAATCTCACATTGAATTCTTCAGTCATGTGTAGAATATGAAGAAATCTCTTGGAGCTTGGAAAAATGAAAAGTCTACTGCAGGCCAAGTTCGCAATGCACTCCCTCGTTCCTACTGGTATTTTCCATTACCTTTCCCTTACGTTTGTGCTCATATGTTTTTCCTGAATGTCATGCTGGCACTCTTCTCCTTTGACAGACATTGCATAAGAAATTTCTTACATCTTTCTCAAGTTCACAATCCCCACAGTTTCCACATCAGTATACTAGCTCAGACAAGCATTCTCCCTAATGTTTCCCCACAATCCAATCCCCACTCTTAAGTTTCTTCCATTCCATAGCAGTATTGCTCCCATGTTCTGCTCTTTCATACTCAACATTGTTCAGCCTTTTGCAATCTGACAGAACTGAATTTGGCTGCACCAGTCAAGTGGGGAGAAAGGATCCGAGGAGAATGCAAACATGAAGTGATGAATGTTGCAGAGCTCATGTGAGTAGAAGCATTTTGGAAGCTAAGTTTTCATTTCAATGGATGAAAATTATTGATCTTAACATTTTTTTTCTTTTTAAGTTATCCACTTCCCAGAACACCTTCTGCAAGACATTCATGTCGAGAAACATACTGTTTGTAAAATAAAATCCTTGTTACTCTCTCTCTTTTGTTTTAATTATTGCCTTAAAGAACATCTGATTATCATTGCTCCAAGTAATGGAAATGTATTTTCCCTATTTATCTCATAAAATTTCTGAATTTTCAATACCTCCATCCAATCTATTTTCCCACATTCAATCAGCCGGCCTTACAACAGCAGTACATGGATGGACTATGGGAACAATGAGGGGAAATGGAACTAAAGGGATAGCACTTTCAAAGAGGTGGCACAGGCACAACGGATCAAATGGTCTCCTTCCACGCTGTCAGATTCTGTAAAATCCACTTCAACACAAGAAAAGAGAACACATCCCGTACAAACCTCAAACAATAAAGGCAAATATGCTGATGGAACGTTTTATTATTAGGATGAGCCAGCTGAACCACAAGATTGCAGCACTAAAGTACATTTTGAATCCATTTAACCATGGATTTCTGGTAATTATAAGCCCAGTTTCGATCATGGAAAGGTAATAATTTCATACTGATTATGGGCAGCTGTTTTCCATTCTCCCTAAAGAAAGGCACTGCTCATCTCTACTTGCCCATTAATCTCAAGAGATTTCCAGAAAGAGTCATATTTTTGGGGCCATGAAAAGGATCACTTATTGTCTTTAACAGAGTTAAATCAAATTCCATTTTTATTAGTTGGAATTCTGGGGACTTTGGCCTGTGCCTTAAGAAATCATATTCAGCAGATCTGTTAATGTAGAAACCAGAAAACCAATGCTTTTGCCAGAATATACAGGAAGGCTGCTTTTTATTTGACTTACTCTAATATTTGGGATTTTTATTTGGGGTTTTGGGGTCATGCCCTGTGCTTCGATGCATTTCTCTCTCAAAATACCACCAATCTTGCTGACCCATTAAAGTACACTGCTCCAAAAGAAAATGCAATCATCTACACAATTTCCATAATTTTCCGAACACATCACAGGAAATTACAATATGCTGAGCTGTAAACATTCCAAATGAGTATCTTGGTGTTTTATGACTGTAATAGCTTTAAAGCTTAATGGTCTAAATCGGTCATTAATGCAAGTACTTGTGAATGAAGCAGTTAGCTCAATTTAACAGATCGAAACCATTTTTCATTTCTCTTATGGTTTTATGTTCAAGCAATGTATATGAAGCGGCTAATGAGCAAAAATGCATTCTGACCTTTTGCTGTCTCCTTTGTGAGATTTCACCCAGTGCTCTACGTGCACCATGGAACTTTTCCGCTGGTCGTTTTTCGCTGTTCCAGTTCTGGGCTCAAACCCCCTCCAATAAACATCGGCACCATTCTGGTCTATCAGAGCAGCACTCGTCGGAGGCTGAATTGTGCCATTGCGTTGTGTGGATTGCGGATGAGACAAAGGACGACGATGCGTAAACATATCACGTTCCACGGGACTTGCTTGCATCTTGCTCTTATTCACTTTTCTGGGCAGTATCTCTATCGGCTCTTTTTGAAAACCATATCTCTCTTCATCACCCCAATCTTTCTTCATTTCATCATATTTTTCAAACCCAAACTTTTCATCTAGTGGTTTCCCAGCACTGTCTCTGCTCTGAAGCACGTCTGCCTTAGTTAAGCCCTTGTACGAGTTGATGTAGTTGTTCCGAGTAAAGTGAGGTCTTTCAGCTTTTTCTGGTTCTCTGTAATAATATTGAAAACTTTCTTTTAAAAAAAAAGTAAACAACATAATTAAACGAACCTGGTAAACAAACAAAATCGCCCCAGTAGCATTTCCAAAGTGCTCTTCAGATAGAATTTTACAACACAGAATAAAGCTATTTGGCCCTCTGCTCTCCGAAGTGAAGTACCATTATACAGTCCTTTCCCAATGCACTTTGCAATGTTTCCTCTTTAAGGCAAGTACGGATTCTGGCTCCACCAATTTCTAATCGAGTTCCTATGTCCTAATACTATGCTGCATTTAGAAAAAATCTGAAATAAACTATTGCTCTCTTACTGATCATTTTAAATTTGCATCTTCTAGATGCCCATTCAGTGACTAAAACAGATTTCCTTTTTTATGCTATTAAAAGTCAAGTTTTAAACACTGAATCACAGAGAATAATTTGTTTATTCTCACGAAAATAGCACGTTTCAAACTAACCAAAGCATCCCACTCCACATATTACACAAGTGAATCACTTCAGTTGCCATATATGTCTTCACATCTTTCCACATACAGGATGCTCAAAACTCCACATAATATTCTAATTAGGAACAAAAACAGAAGTTGCTGGGAAAGCTCAGCAACTCTGGCAGCATCTGTGAAGAAAAATCAGTTCACGTTTTGGGTCCAGTGACCCTTCCTCAGCTGTTTTTGTTCCTGATTTAGAGCAGCCACAGTTCTTTCAGTTTACATCATATTCTAATTGCCAGCTAACCCACACTTTTTAGGGCATTTGAAATGCTGAGAGTGAATTTTTTTTGGGAGGGTGGGGGTGTGCAGGTGGAAATGGGTTGTTTGATGAGTGAACATTGGGAAAGAAAAAAGTGTTGAGACAATTTGAGTTAATTTTTCTCCTCCTTCAAAAACAGTTACAGTGGCTTAAACATTTTTAACAGTTGCAATTTTTATGCAATATCAATATATTTTCTTCTTCTCCTGACTGTCTTTATGTTCATAGTCACAAAGTTGTACAGCACAGAAACAGCCCTTCAGTCCATTTCATCCATGCTGACCAGATATCCTAAATTAATCTAGTCCCATATGCCAGCATTTGGCCCATGTCCCTCTCAACCCTTCGTATTCATGCATCCATCCAGATGTTTCTTAACTGCTGTTATTGTACCGGCCTCCATCACTACCTCTGTTAGCTCGTTCCATAAACGCACCATCCTCTGCATGAAAATGTTGCTCCTTAGATCTCTTTTAAATCTTTCACCTCTCATCTTAAACCTATGCCCTTTTTCGTTTTCCCCCACACCCTGGAAAAAATACCTCAGCTATTCACCCTATCCAGGCCCCTCATGGTTTTATAAGCCTTTACAAAAGGTCACCCCTCAGCTTCTGATGCTCCAGGGAAAATACCCCAACCTATTCAGCCTCTCCATACAGCTCAAACCCTCCAACCTTGGAAACAGCCTTGTAAATCTTTTCTGAACCCTTTCAAGTTTAACAACATCTTTCCTTTCACAGGAAGACCAGAATTGAACACAGTATTCCAGAAGTGGCCTAACCATTGTCCTGTACTTGGTAACAATAATAAGAAGCTTTAAGAGTGGAGTCCAATCTGCATTCACCAAAAGCACATTTAAACCTGATACAACTGGGTAGTGTTCAGAAATGTTCGTTTCTCGTCATTCCATGTGACCCTCCACCTCCGAAAAACGTCTGTTGCTTCAGCCACATCATTTATCACTATTTCAGTTCTTCCAGTAGATGAGGAAATATAAACAGAGCTATTTCATTTCAGATCTCAGTATTTTGCAAATGCTTACTGAAATATGATCCAGCAATAAAGTTGCATTAAATTCAATGTGACTACTAGTAGGAGGTGGCATTGACAACAAGAAAAGGTTGTTCTAATTGCGTCTTTTATTTTCTGTACCCTATAGCATACCAATACAAAGATTTAAAAAACCTGTATGTGTATTCCTCATTAACATCATATATGTGTTTTTGTTCCCCAGTGAGAGTCAGACGAGGGGTTACATTATTGCTTGTGTTTACCATCTATAGCAAAATTGCGGGCATATTCCTGATATGAATGTTTACAACTTTGCTTTGACCACAGGGAAAAAATCCTCTCTTGATACTTTGGGATTAAAGCTGATTACTATTCAGATAACAATTTTATGTAACATGGAAATGAAATTGAATTTCTTTCTGCTACCCGAGTAGCACATGAATTCTCACATGCTAACTAGTCATTGCTTTTCTACTGAGAGGATGTTGCGATAGAACAATAAATTCTACTGATATGATCTCAAAAAAATGGTTGACAGAGAAATATTTACCCAACAGACATCACATCTATCAGCCTGCCTGACTGTAACTCAGTAATGAGATGTACTGCATCGCGTGGTATGCAGTCATGAATAATGGAAATCATATGGCATCTTGATCTATACTGAAACAATAGTAGTAGAACTACAAAATAGTGTAGGTAACAGATTTTTTGGGAGGACCAGGGAGAAAAGAAGTGAAACAGGCAAACAAACTTTATTGAATCAGAGATAGTAAGAACTGCAGATGCTGGAGAATCCGAGACAACAAGGTCCTCTTTTCGAAATGTTTATTTGTTGATACCAGAGGAGACAAAGTCAGCTTGAGCTCCTTTTGTTCATCACAATAACTTCCAGATCAGGCCAAAGTGAAGGCAGGAGGAGGAGGTGAGAAAAGGAGGAAAATAGCAGTGGCAACCTTTCTTAAATACTGAAAGCTTCTAAACTAATATGTAGTGATGATAAATAGTGAAGGCTAAATTGAATGTTGTGGAACAAGATTGCGTCGCTATAAGTAAGATTCCCCAGTTTGACCTGAAAACATACCCTCCATACATGGCCATATCATGATCAGTACTAATAAATTTAAGTCATAATACTGTATTCCGGGTCCTAATCTAAAGTTACTTATTCTCAATCAATCGTCAGGGTTTATTGCCTAAGCCTCATCTGACACGATCATTGGGGTAACTCTAGGATCAATGGCTACATTTCTCCCAAATGACCATCTTACAAGTAATTAGTCCCAACAGTGAGAAGGTTATTCATGTCACTTAGAAACACCAAATACAAGAGAAGCCCATTTGGCATTTCAGGTCAGCTCTACCATTCAGTATGTTCTTGGCTGATCATCCAACACAGTTCTTGTTCCTGCTTTCTCCCCATATCCTTTGATCCCTTTAATCATATGATCTACATGTCTATATTTCTTGGAAGTCCTCAGTATTTTGTACTGACCAGTTCCTCATGGCAGAGAATTCCATAGGCTCACCACTCCCTTGGTGAAGACATCTCTCCTCATCTGTCCTCAACAGGCGACCCAATACCCTAGCACTGTGATCCTTGGTCTTGGACTCCCAACCATCAAGAACATCCTTTCTGCATCATCCCTGTCTAATCCTGTCTGAACATCATAGGTTCCGAGGAGATCACCGCTCAATCTTTGAAACTTTAGTGAATATAGTCCAATGGATCCAATTTCTCGTAATATGACAGTCCTGACATCCCGAGGGTGGGTGTCAATCACTTCTAACCAATCTTCAAATGATAACCATTGACCTTAGGACAGTATTACTGGGTGAGGATCATTATCCTCTCAAGAGCACAGACACTAACCACAGGATTCTTGATACAGCTTCTGTTGAGCCCAGGAATAAAACTGGAGACTTTCTTGCTGCACAGGGTTCAACTAATTACCAAGCTATCAGACAATTTCCTTTTTGGGCTTTAAAAACATACATGTAGTCACAAGCTCATTAATTCTCTTTCACTAAAAAACTTACAATCCTTTATGATGTATGCTATTAATTAAAGTCATCAAGTTGATGTATCCAATTTTTTTTGTTTTATTGATGTGCTTAAAAGATTTACCCTTGCACAACATACAACTAAAGAGAAATCACCTAAAGTGAAGTTACACACTTGACATGAATTTTAAATTTCCCATCAAAATTATTTTAAAAGTATATCAATATTCTGCAAATAAAGTGAACAAGTAGCGCTTAAAACTTGATCCACATTTAAAACAAGTCAAATAACTCTGTACAGTACAATAATTCACACCAGGAGACACTACCACATTTTTAAATTGAACTTTCAGTAGTCTTTATATAGCGTGTCCCAAGACCGAGCACCAATATATCACTCAAGTACTGCATCCATACACTTAACCTAACAATTTCACAAAGTGACATTCATATCACTCATGCAAATCATTGTGACAGAATTAATTTCTTAAGTTCATTTTGCTTCCATTGGCAATTCCTTAACTTTTTAAAATTAGATGCATAATTTCAGCAACAAACTGATAAAATGCAACTATTCCTAATCCTGTATCTTAAATATAGGCAAGAAACTACATCCAAACGACACTGAAAGAATACCATTAATGCCTTTTCCGCAAGTAGGTCTCAATTGAAATGAATTACTGAGACAACAAGGTGCAGGGCTGGATGAACACAGCAGGCCAAGCAGCA